GAAAGTTTATATATCGTAAACGTTTGAAATATTACACATCGTAAAAATATCGAAGTACTACGATACGTAAGTTTTTCAACAGGCTCGTAACCTTACGTAAGATTACGAAGCGTAGGGTTTACGTAATACTTCGCATTATTAAATTTACTGATGTGCGTATATTCGTTCTAGAAGGGCAACAAACCCTCTGTGTTTCCAGTTGAGCCCTGAGTTAATGTCGCTGACGATTTTGTATTCTGGGTAGTGCTGTTGGAGATTTGCAATCTGTCGTTCAAGGTCACCTCTTTGATACTCTGAACTGATTCTGGCGTAGCAGACCTTAGCCTTTTGCGTGGGTTGTGTTGGGTTATCTCCAAAGATTCCTCTGTCTGTGATTGAATAGAGTCGTTTTTCACCAGGTGTTCTGACAATAGCAATTCTTTCAGAGTTAGCCCATCGTTGCAATGTTTCGACTGAGACTCTTTAATTTTATTTGCACTTTGGTAAGTAATCTTGTTTTGCTTCAGGGTTGTTAAAAATATGGTCTTTGTTCAGGAACGTGAGGTTGCCAGAAGAACTGTGTTGCTTAAAACTATTTTTTCTTGTATTTGATTTTAAAATGTGAGGATCTTTACAAAACCGTTGAGACAATTTCGAAATAAACTACATTTTTCATATTACTGAGCTTACTAATTATTAATACGGTCAACTAATTAAATCAAAACTATTATATAAAAATTTACTATTGAAGATTTTTCATGTATTTCACGTGCTTCTTAAAAAAAAAAAAAATCTGAAACCTTAATAGTTCTTGAAAAAAAATATTAAGAAAAAATTTTCCTAAAGAGCTAAGCGCAAATAAATTTTTTTTTTTTAGAATGATTATTTAATAAATTTTGTGAATGATGATCGACAGACGCGTCAAAGATTTACAATAATACGAATAATACGTTTAGCTATTTAAATCAATGGCGAATAAATTATCAAGACCGATTTCACTGAAAAATTTTTTAAATTTTCTTATTTTTTTGCGAAGTGTTAATAAAAGAATCTTTAAAAGATTAAACTAAATATTTGTATTTATTTGAGTTCTTTAAATGACAAAATTTTATTGATATAAAACCTTTTAAATTAAAGATTAACAAGCCATGAATTTAACTGAATACAACACGACGATTAAAAATATATAGTACTTGTTCGTTACTAGCATAATAAATACTAGTACCCAGGTTGCACGATGAGGACGTCAGTACAAATCGCAACCCAAAAAAAAATGGAGCTCCTCAACCGAGAGAGTCTTTGGGTTTCTATCTAATGCCTTTAATTTTTTATTTTTTTTTATTTTTTATTCCCCACTTTCATGCCCCAAGTTTTCCTTCTTGGCGGTTTGATACCCCAGTTCTGTCCTTCTGGGCGTTTGTAACCAGTTATCTGTTCTGGAGTTTGATAACCAGTTTCTTTCTGGTCGAAGTTCTCTGCTGAAAAGGGAAGCGCATAACCGGAACCACGTAGACTTTTTTGGAAACCCAATATATATATATATATAACTTTCTACACGTTAAAGCTTTCCACTTCAGGAAAGATGATCAATTCACATGACCAATGCAACTCGATCATTAAGATTTGTCGTATAGCATTCAATGCTCAATTCTTTAACTTTACTTTATTGCAAATGAATTAACCAATTTTATCATTAACAATAAGTTATTACGATTCGTTTAACGTGAATTTATGGTTGATGGTCAACCATAGGTTACTGTACATAAAAATGTTAAAAGATTCGAAGTAGGTAAATCAAAAAGAAAATGTCGTGATCAAAATGCGGTTAAATTAGTACTTAATGCGACATGCTTACATTTTATTTTATTTTACATTTTTCATAGGAATCTGATAATTAAAAATTGTAATTATAATTATCAAGAACTTTTTATTATACCATTTCAATTAGGAATTTCGAATTCGAAATCAAGATACTACATGTTGGTAAATACACATCATTAAAATTCTTCCGGAATAATCATATTTTTAAAAATAGGTCGACATTAACTTGTAAATAAATTTGACGTAGGCAAATGAACAACCGCATATCCTCAAAGAATCGGATCGTTCAAAGATTTTATAAAATATTCCTTGCTCTTCATACAATCAACCATTAACTTTTCCTATTGGTGATTTCTTACATGATGATGTTAAATACGATTAAAATTTGGAAAGTTGTTTGGTAAGTTAAAAAAATAAATGATGTATTATTTCGCGTCGTAGTTGCTGGTAAATTACTATACTGGTTAAATGCGACTAAGCAACTGATTTAAAAGTTTTCGTGAACAACAATGAAATATATAAATAAATATATCCATTTTTTTTTTTTTCAATCTATTTGGTATTACTAGGATATTATCATTACGTAGAGGCAGCAGGCTCGATCATACAGTTATCTGATGATTTAGAAGTTATCGATCAGCAAAGAACTTCCTATTATAAGATCAATTTTTTTCATTTGAGTTAATTTTACCGCCGGATAAAGTTGAATATAAAACATTGATTTAATTCCACGATTAAAATTAAGATATTTTACATCGAGTTATAGGGAATAGCGATTAACGTTATAGTTGTTGTCGAATTAATAAAATATTTATTGTTGGATTAAAGCAAACATCGTTTCAATCGTTACTAATCATCACTAATTTGGTTATTATCAAGGACGATGATGTTGGGTTTCTTATGATCTAATGAATGTGAATTCATTATTATATTAGAAAATTCTTGGTCTTCATCATCATCCTTAAAAATTAATGGTGATTTGGATCTTTTAGTTTTTTTATATGACTTGACGTCTTTCATGAACAATTCATTTATTGCCTCTATATTGCTAGTTCCATTATCCATCATTATTATTTTTGGTTTAGTTGAATTATTAGAAGTTGCCCCTTTTGGATCCATTATAATATCGCACTCTGAAGGTACTTTTATTTGTTCGAATACGCCTAATCCCAAGTTCTGAACGTGTGAATATATAAAACAATTAATTATTTTATAATGAGCGAACAAATAGAATGAGAGTTTGGTATTACCATCTCAATGATCCTTTCCTTGCCTTCAACAACTTCAATATTAATATCTTTGGCAACTTTTTTTACAAGTTCTTTATTATCTGAAGCAATTTTTGGCAAAAAATCGGAGATCCTTGATATCACTTATCGTATTAATACTTTAGGTTAACGAAAGATTACAAGTTCTAATGGTACAATAGAAATTTTATAAAATTAACTCACAATCTTCCGAACGTTTCAATGGAAATGTCTTTAATTCGCTCTTGGTTATATCCTTTGTAACGTTTTCCCCACAGTCATTTATCAGGCTAGCTAACAAAATAATTTACGCACGTCAAAAATTTATTATTTACACGTAATTGACATTGATAAATTACCAACCGATTCGCTGTTTCGAAGCGTTCTCATCGTCCTCAATTTCTAAGAATACTCTCTTAGTATTATTTTCAGGCATCGTTATAGAATTGGTTCTGCAAGAAAGATTTTCTTTTATTGAATAAAAAATTTTTGATAATGATCATGTGATACATAAAAATTTTACTGATTATCTGATCCAATTAAAATCTTTTATTTTTTTTACGTTCAAGAAGACTACAGTTACTTTGATGATTAGGTATAACAACACCACCACCATCACCATTGGTTTTTCTTTGAACGATCTTTTTCTTTATATAATTCCCAACATGCTCATGTCCTTCCTCCGTTACACTAAACATCCGCTTTCTATCGTTAGACAAATTACAAATCCATGATTTGTTGCAATACCATCTCTTGATTTTGATATTCGTGTATAAATAAAATAACCTATAAGGAAGAAAATTTATCGCGAAAAATTATTTGTACGTACCTTTATTCGATTCTAACCTATTATTCCCATAATTGGATTTGATTTATGACTGTCGACGATAATAAAGGAATTCGTTTCTTCAT